TGCGTCATTAAAGTACTAATTACAACACTTGAAGAAGTAAAAGTAGCGTAATACTTACGAGATCCTATATTTGAATTAATTTCCCATAAAGAGTAAAAACTGTTTTTGATAATGACACATTGAAAACATCTCTTCCTGTACACTTACGAACAGGACCCGGATGGAGGGAATACTGGCACGGTCTTAGCGGCCTCCAAAATCGTCCCAAATTTTGACGGTGGGACGGACAAATAAACATCATCTTAAACTGGTCTTCGGTAAGATTGAACTTTCCCGCGCGAATAGCAGTTTTTCATGTTTTTTAAAAAAATAGTTTTTAAAAAAGTTTTAAAAATTCTTAAAAGAGTTTTGAAAAGCAACAAAAGTTTAAAAAGTTAGATTTTTAAAAAAGTTAAAAAAATTAAAAAGTTAAAAAAAATGAGGGTTAGTGGTTAGGGGTTAGGGGTTAGTGGTTAGGGTTGGGGTTAGTGTTACGTGCCGCGAATTTATTATTATGATAAATTCAAAATTTGCCGCGAATTTATCAAAATGATAAATTCGAACCTGTTTAAGAATTTACTCATATAGTAAATTCAAAGGTGGAGCTCATGCTGAGAAATTCCACCAATGCCAACAAATGGACAACTTTTCTCCATAATCAAAACTAAACAAGTAAAGTAAGCTTCTAGAAATATCTAAAAACGGTACTTCTTTGCGTTAATTTTCTGTTAAACAAAACAGGTGTGGAAATTACAAAGGAACACTGTCATTGATATTATTTAAAAAATACTCCAATAATTAGTTTTAACAATGGCGCATTGAAGAACAAAAACAGCTTGTATACATTGCGTCTGCTATTATTTTCTGCTATTATTTTCTGCTATTATTTTCGTGGTTTTTTATTATTATTTTATAAATTAGAGAAGCTTAAAAATTGGCTACAAACGTAATCCCCTTGGCATACAGACTACAGTAACACAATTTACCAACCTCGAAATGTTTTCGACTACTCCCGAACGTTTGATTAAAGATTAAATTTGCGAGATTAAATTGTTTGTTGCAGAATTAACACGCGAAAAATAACTATCCAGGTAGCAAGTTAACTTGTAGTATATTGTTGCTTTCGTAATATAGCGTGTAATCTATTTATGGCACACTCATCAGTACATATTAAACAACGACAATATACATATGTATTGTACATTATGTTGGCGTGCAACTATTTAGTAATTTTAATCAACTTTAAAACGATCAATTGTAAAGGCTTTCCAAAAGCTTGAAAAAATTACAAGGCGGTGTTTGTATTCAAATATAAGAACTTGTAAACACTATTTTATATTTATAATAATTGCTGATATAAATTTATAAAAGCTCCGCGAGTATCACTGAACGTGTTCCCGGTTATTACAAAGGTAAACAATAGAGCTATTTATAGCCATAATTTGTGAATTTTGCACTCCTTCATATTCCTTTTGCCGACAAGTTTTATTGCGAATAACATAACTTTAAATATTCTACTTTAACCCTAAAAGTGTTTTAGACACCAGGTAGGTTGCACTTTTGAGAATTTTTAGTTTGAATTTTATAGCTAATCATTAGAAAATCATTAGTTGTTCGGCGAAAGAAAATGCCGACATCCTTGGATGGAGACTAGTAGGCTTAAAATAAGATGTACGTTCAAATTCTTTCAACATTCTAAAAGAAGAAGAATATGTCTCAATACGCTGAAAAAAGTTTTTAATTTGACGCGAAACTTTCCGAGTTATGATGCACAATTTAACACACATTTGACCGCCGCTTCCGGGGTCAAATTTCAGTGTCGCTGATGTCCGGACAAAAATTCGTGATAACTCAAAAAAAAAGAAAAATTTAGAAATTCTAGTATTAGTTTAATACCTTTTAGGACAAAGGTAGTTCATGGTAAAAATATAAAGGAAATCTAAATTTCAACCTGAAACGCTCTGCATGGTTCTTAGTGAGACAGCCACTTAAGAGTGCAATTGTTGCACTTAACGAGAAGAGAGAAGAGGGTGGTGTTAAAAAGAGTAACGAATATGTCTTTGCTGTCAATGATGGTCGATCAGAAAACCCGTTAAGACGACACAATGTCCTCAGTAAGTTGCGCAACAACGTCCAGCTGCAGAAACCTGAACTCGTCAAGACGACGAATATGAGAAAATATGTGGCCGCCGTGAGCCAGCTAGTGGACATGAATGAGTCCGAAATGGGGTGGTTAGCGAACCATATGGGCCACAACATTCATGTCCATAAAGAATTTTATCGACTGCCACAAACAACCATTGAGATGGCTATTGTAGGAAATCTACTGATGGCAGTCGATGAAGGTCGGGCTCACCTTTTTAAAGGAAAAAACCCGAGACAACTACACCTGTCAGGTAATTAAATATACAACTTGTTGTGCTGAGTGGTTATATTATTACCTGAAAAAATAAGCAGAAACTCGACGTTTCGAGCGAAGGCCCTTTGTCAAGAGTTAGTAGAATAACTCTTGATAAAGGGCCTTCGCTCGAAACGTCGAGTTTCTGCTTATTTTTTCAGGTAGTAATATAACCACTTGGCACAACAAGTTCACATTGGTACTGCCCACACTGGTACAGACAGTTTTAATTAAATATACAGTTTAGTTGTTCAGGAAATCAAATCTCGAATAAAATTTAAACGCTGAGGATGCCCGCCGCTGTTTTTATATCATTATCAACTTGCAAAATTAATTTTTTTTTATTTTAGATTTTGATACAGCTCCGCAGGAAGATGCTTGTAAGGGAAGCAGTACTGGAAATTTAGCAGAAAATGAAAACAGTGATGAAGATGGTAAGTAATTGGATCCAGAGTAGCAAAGCGGGCATGCAATATCGGTTTTAAAAGAAACAATCTTGCTCTGTTTTACTTACAAATTTGACTAAGTAGAACTTGAAAATAGGAATTAGAAAGATCCTCGGTCAACTTTAGTGTCCAGACCAAAAGTGTGATTTCAAACACTTAACTGATCATGACATCAAAGCGTTATAGAAACGTTTATGACTGTGATTTCATAGACTTTTCAAATATTAAGGTGGCTCCATACAATTTTCAAAAACTTCAGGTGTCTAACACTTTGACAGTTTTAAACGTCGTATTTTTAAGTTTTATGCAGCAGATATCAGGATGTTAATCTATTTTGATGTTTCGTCTTTCAAATTATGTCAGTTTTGGTAACACCTAGTTCGTTACCATGGCAACATGCGCACGTAAAATGCACTTTAAAATAGCGTATTTCTTTGTGTGGTTGGAAAAAAGCTCGGTGACCCCCAATTTTTTTTCATGCATCATTTTACCTAGAACATACACTATAATAGGCAAAATCTAAAAAATTCTGTAATGCCAATTTTTTGAAAAATGCAAAAATGTGATTTTCTTCAATAAAAATATTTTGGAATTACAGAAATTTTTTATATTTTGCCTATTGTTAGTGCATGTTCTAAGTAAAATATGCATGAAAAAATTGGGGGTCACCAAGAGTTTTTTCCAACCACACAAAGAAATAGGCTATTTTAGAGTGAATTTTATATGTGTGTGTTGCCATAGCAACGAACTATGTGTTACCAAAACTGACATAATTTGAAAGACGAAACATCAAAATATGAACATCCTGATATCTGCTGCATAAAACCTAAAAATACAACGTTTAAAACTGTCAAATTGTTAGACACCTGAAGTTTTTGAAAACTGTATGGAGCCACCTTAATAATAAAATAAAAGTGGTTAAATCTTAAAGGATAACTTTGTTCGTTTTTGAACAACCAGAGAAAACTACGGCAAATCTTCCAAATAGTCAGCAAAAATGCATAGATCCTATATGCGGGTGCTTATTTTTAATCAAAACACTAAGGGTTTCATGCGGTGTACTATTGCACAAATAAACCAAAACACTATATACTGTTCATGTCATGCAAGCACTAATTATTAAAGACGTTCCTAACATGTTCAAGATAAAACCAGCCTGGTTTTTATATAGGTAATAGTATGGTTTCTCGTGCGATTTGGTAAAAACATGCACAAGTGAGTTTTTGAAAAACGCTAAAAATTGTGCAATTTGAGCGTCTTTCAAAAACTTACGAGTGCATGTTTTTACCAAATTGCACGAGAAACCATAGTATTACTTATTAATAATATACAAGGAAATGTTCGGGACAAGATTACACACCTGCACTTAGTACTTACTTCGTAATGGCTCCTCTACACATTTTTCTTCAAAAACTTAATTTAGCTATGTCCATGCAATGATTCCTGAATTGAAACATACGCAAAGAACTTCTCAATTTTTAAATAGTTGGATAAAAGTTATGCATTTTGTTTAAAAATCAAGAAAACAATCAAATTGCCGCAATGTTTGTTTGTTTTGTCAAGTAATTTTCCATCCTTCAAAATCTTTGAATATGGTCAAATATCAGCCAATCAAAATCAGCCAATCAAAATCTTTGAATATGGTCAAATATCAGAATATCAGCCAATCAAAATGAAGGAATTTCTTATGTATATTATTAATTAATGTATTTATATATTTTTTAACAGGTGAACCATCGCAGGGAGCTGACACGACAAAAAAACAGACAAGTACGTTGTGTTTGGCCAAAATTGACCAAGCACGATACCTTTAAAATAATTTATACAGTGTGTCCAAAAAAATGTCACTCTGACAAAACTGGAAGTATAACTGTGTTCGATTATATTTTCAAGAACTGTCTGTTATTCAACACAGGGATATTGCCTTTTGATTTCAACAGCTATTTTTCTCAATTTCTGAAACTTTAATTAAAATGACCACTTAACCAACATATGTGATGTGGTGACACTACTCTTGTCTTCCAAGCTGGGAGACCGAGGTTCAAGCCTTGGTCGGACCTCTACTCAAGGTCTTAAAATAATTGATGAGAAAGAGATGCCTTAATGCAATGAGATCAGTAAATGGTGAGACTTTCGGGTCTTCTCGGATAAGGACTTTAAGACATCAGTTCTTGAAAATAACACAGAAGCTAGTAAACACGTTAAGATGTTAATCCAATATATAACTTTGAGAACACCTCTATCGAACACAGTTATATTTCCAGTTTCGTCAGAGTGACATTTTGGTAGGACACACTGAATACACTGATGATAATGCCATGAGGTTTTTATATGAATATTTATACGTATTTCGTAGAAAATCTAAACCTAACCAAGGTTATATTAGTTGCCTTGCTTGTCAACAAAAGGAATTCTCACCATATTTTAGCAATGGCTTCGAAGTGAATAGTTTCAGTTAAATCAGTTTCCGTTTGCAACTATTCTCTCCGACAATATTTTATCCCTATTTCATGTTCTAATTCTTGAAACTGTCTGTCTGTTTTGCAGATGTGCTGAAGAAACGTAAAGGATCCATACCGAAGCAGTGGACCACAGATGAAAAGAAGATTGTCCACAAATATTTTTCCGAACATATTAAAAGAAATCGACTGCCAAAGAAAGGAGAATGCGTAGATTTCGTGGAGGGCAACAAAGAGATAATTAAAGGTCGACAATGGTCCACTGTCAAGGACTATGTTAGAAATTATTTGGAGAAGAAGAAAAGATGTTAAGTTGAGTCGTCAAGGATTGCAAGGATCATGGCATCTTCGTCTTCTTTCATCTTTCTTACAGGACTTAATTTTTGCAGTGAAATTGTTGCTCTTTAACACGGTTTAAACCTGAAACTCTAAGCGCGCAAAGCTTAATGGGAGCACAAGTTTCAAGCTTAGTAGTTGAATATTGCAGCTATTTGTGAATGAACTGTTCTCGTAAGAAGATATTTACCACGTCTCTAAGAAAAGGGCCACATATATGATTTCGAAACTGATTAAATGATGCTCCCATTATGCTTTGTATACTTTGAGTTTAAGGTTTATGGTTTAGAGTTTAAGGTTTAGAATTTAAGGAACAACCTTTTTGAATTAGCTGTATATAGTAATAGATACTATACATCAACGGAACGCAATAATTAGAACGTGGCAAGCATATATATATATATATATATATAAAAACCAAGGTTTTTTCCTCATTATAATGCTATTCATATGCCAATGTTTCTACGAACATTTTTCTTGACTTGCAACCGATCCCTTGAGAATTAGAAAACCCAAACTCAACCCCTTGTTGGTGCCAAATTCAGTGCAAGGTAATGAAATTCTTTTGCCTTGAGATCACCAAAGTGGGCGCCAATTTGACCGATTATTTTTCCGAAGTATCATTTCGTTCCATGGCGGTCCCTACTTTTGACGGTTTCTCGCACAGGAGGCTCAAAATTGTCATCCAATTATCATAGGCAGTCCAATAGGTAGGCGACGTCACTCACTGCAAAATAAAGCCTGGTTCACACTGGTCGTATTTCATCGGTGATCTATTGTATTCTCTTCCGACAGAAAAAGGATTTTCCACACCAATGACCACCGACAATGGAATTCCCCGATTCTTAGGACCAGTGTGAACCAGGCTTAAGTTTAATATAAACTTACCAGTAGTCTATTGCAAATTCAACAATCTGATTGACTGAGCTACTAATGGTCTATTCGTGTTAGACTACCAGTAGCGAAAACAAAACAAAATTCAAAGCAATGGCGAAAAATTATCGTTTTGCAGAAGTTTTGGATGAATTTTTATATCATCACCGAAACCCTGTACCCGAGAAACAAAGAAAAAATACTTCAAATAGTAATTCCGTGGTTTAATTTACAAATAATTTACAATATATATTAGAAATTTAAGAATTTTTGGACATCTCCTTCGACTATAGACTATAAAAGCTGATGGTGTTTTATTGATGGCATATTTCCTATTTTTGACAAATAATGGTTTTCAAAGGACGCTCTGCCACCAAAACAATATCACCAAGTTTTACATTTCTGACATTCCTACTCTGCGATGTATCCTAGCAACACACATAACTGTTCAAAAACAAAAGTATTCGAGCTTCATTCATTTTCTTGTGAGATGAACAAAATTCTTCCAAAATGGCAGAAAATTCGTTTCTAAGCGCAGCGCGTATATGCTGGGTAATAGAATTTAAAATTGGAAGGTGGTGTTTTCTTGTTTCATTACAAGGGCTTACAGAGGGCCAAAAGTTGCATTTAGGTCTAAATAATGTATTTAATATCCGCTCGGTATTGAAAATAAATTTCACCCAAAAAATGCCACTGGAAAAATAGCCTCTTGTGATGGGTTCTAGTGATCATGACATTTTTCTGTGTTGGTGTTGTGTGACTCAGGTGAATATGATGCTTGTGATGTTACCCTGAGTGTATACTATCCACACCGGGCAATTAGCTTGAAAAATATGCCTGACCGCCAACGGCCGCGAAAATAACGACAACCCGTGAACAAAACCACAACAATTAGATTTCCGCTTTTCAGAAAAGTTTCGTCATGGTCATTCCCAGATTCCATAATAAACATTGCAACTATGAAAAAAAGCTGAATATATATAACCTTTAGCTTGCTTTCATGTAAAAATATATGGTAACCAGGACGTCGATTGCATGCATGTGCAATTCAAATTCACAAGGTTTTAAAATGCTGGTTATGCCATCATTATCTTAAGATTGAGATTTTATATGTGGATTTGTTAACCTTATGAATGCAAAACCTTTTGAAAAACCTTATGAATGCAAGGTTTGCAGGACTGAAAAGATTTTCCCAATCGGGACATTTAGCTTTTCATAAACGAACACATACTGGAGACAAACCTTATGAATGTGATGTTTGCAACCGAAGATTTTCGCAGTTAGTTACCTTAACTACACATAAATGAACACATACTCGAGACAAAAGCCCTGGGCAAACTAGGAAACATTGTTGCGGAAACATTTGTGATTCTCGATGTTTCCTCAAATGTTTCCATGTTTGCCCACCCGTGGAAACATTGTTGCACAAACAAAATTTGCTTCCCGGGAAGCAAAAATGTTTCCTATAAACATCAGAAACATTTGATGTTTCCCTATGTTTCTCACTAATGTTTCCTAGTGTTTGCCCACTCTGGGAAACATAGCGAAACATTGGTAGGAAACAATGTTTCCTAGTTTGCCCAGGGCTAAACCTTATAAATGAAAGTCATGTATGCAACATATGAATGTGATGATTGCAACAAAGGAATTTTGAGAATCACAAGTTAACAGTGTAACAGTGATAAACTGATTACTGCAACAAAACAAACCGTTTTCTGATAATCAAATTTTAAATTAACAAAAGGCTTTTAGAGCATGGCACATTAATCAATTTGTTGATATTGGGGGTACATTTATGAACTAACATAATTTTGTAATTATTTGTTGTTTTCGAAGTTTGTTAATATAGTCGGCAGGTACAAAACGCAGGTTGCAGGTTGGGAATTTTGCAGGTTGGAATTTTGCAGGTTGGGAATTTTGCAGATTGGGATTTTGCAGGTTGCCAGGAACTTTGCAGGTTGATGATGCAAACTTAAAATTACACCACGATAAAGTATTCTAGTATAATTTAATTGTGTACTAATTGCAGTCTGACTCCTTGTCGGCGCTTTTGATATCAGCCTATCCTGCTGCCATGTTCCTAATTATAGCCTCTACTCCATATCAGGCTTGCTTGTGGCCATCACCCCCGTGAAAAGATTCAGAATCACCAGATTGGCTTGGACCTACAGAGGGACGAATGTCTCGATCATTGCGAGGTGCCTATATGATGTGGCGGCATTTATACTAGAATGATGTTAAAAGGTAACTAACATTCTCAACTAACGATAAGGTAAATGGGGGCTTGAGTGGACTTCTCGTAATGCACCTATCATCGGCTATCCCTGGGGGTACAACCCCAGGACACCCCGGGACTTTGAACTACATTTGCTCAAAATTATTCCCAAAATGCGGGAAATGCCATTTCAAAGACACAAAAATGGTAAAAATCGAGAGGGGGCAACCGCATGCCCTCATATCCACAAAGAAATGCCCGGCTTCAGGCTAAAATAAATTTCCAAATTTCAGGTAAACACGGATTTTTTTTACTTCTGGTTAACACCCTGGCGGAAACATGGTAATGCAAAATTAGTTGAAAATGGCAAATTATTATGGCAATTATTTACATAAAAGTATTAAAGCTACAACTATAAAAAGGGCTAGTCCTGAGTCTACAGAAACCTTCATAGGCTTTTAAGGTAAGGCCCTAGTTTAATGTCCAGTGCAAAGTTTTAAGCGCCGTTTACACGAGCAAATTTTATTTGACAAATTTCACATGTCAAAGATATTTTGCTCATGTAGATGATACATTTGTGACAAATTTCTTGTGACAAATGCATTTGAACAAAAGCTAGCATGCTACTAGCTTTTGATCAAATGCATTTGTCATATTAAATTTGTCAAATAAAATTTGCTCGTGTAAAAGGGGCTTTATATAAATTTGTGTCAATCAGTGCTAAAAGTATTTACAAGAATATGAAGATTAATTAAATACATAATTGCTTTCACTAGTAAGAATAAAGTACATAATAAGGAGAAAAGTTGGAGAGCTATAATGCACCAGTCAAAGTAAACCCCGACCCCCCACCCCACCCCGGGCAAAGAGGGGACTTGGTGGGGATTTAGTGGCTTTTTGTCATCGAATTCTGTCCCAACCATGTCGGGAATGTTGGTTTTGTCATTCTGCTGAATTATGCCGGGAGATCATGGGGATTGTTAGGGGATTGTCTGCGGCCATTTTATACCATGTGACAAAGGACAAAATGGCGTGCTCGTAAGGAAATGAAATCGAGAGGAATTTTATAAATATATTATTAATTTAATTTCTTTTCAATCTATATGTTAATACCTGTTAATATGTCCATCCATCCATGGAATCTATTGTTGTGGAAAGCCCGACATTTGTTTGTTTATATTAATATGTTTTTATCGTTCTTTTGAGTTTTGGGAACAAAATATTAATATTTTAAAATGTGGATGGTTTATGCGGCGGCCCGGAGATTGTCAAGGAGATATTATGCAGGAGATAAATTCACTCACACGACTTACAATTTCCCCGGGGGGTGGAGCATTTTTTGTCTTTTGCTAGAAAATTTTGTCCCATATTGTGGGGCATTTGTCTGTTTTGGTACCATATTCAAAACCAATCCCCACCTATATCCCGGGGTGAGGGGGGTCGGGGTTTACTTTGACTGGTGCATAAAGACAGTCAAGACATAATCTGTTAATTACATGAATATTATTAGAATTAAAATATAAGTTCACTAGATTGTATTGACTATATTTGTTCATAAAATTTATTTTCGATTTTTTTTTACAGATTGGTAGTGATGTTATTTTTGTCAAGTAACATCAAGATTATTCCGAACATCCACAACTTTCACTGAGAGCTTAGTATAATTAGTTCGATGGTAATGCATTTGAAGTTTTGACGAGTACTAGTTTTGGGTGCTGTATTACTATTGGTGAATTTGGCTATTTGCTATAAAAAATTCGTAAATGAATGTGGCAAGTTTTGCAAATGATGGTACCAGAACATGAATAAGCTTATCATTGCCCGCAGTAACATCGAAATTTGCAATTTTCAGTCATTTTAGATTACAAACGGGAAATTGATGCCCCAA